ACAATATCTGATTGAGAACACAGCTTAGTGCTACAGTATATCCTGCTTAAATCTCTAAGATTGATTCTCAAATCAATGAAAGAATTACTATACAAATATAAATACTAATTTGAGACTATCCTTTGACCAATGATAAAAGTGCCTTTTGAATACCTGTGTTCACGATTTAGCTCCACCAGGACTGACCAACCCCATCTACCATATAGACCAGCTCTTCACCATCACAAAGGTGCAGACAGCTCTTCTGTGACCTCCCTAAAACCCCCAGGGGGCCTCGTTCCTTCCAGCCACTTCCTTCTACTCTCGGGATCCTCAGTGATGTGTCTTTCTCTCACCACCAGCTAGGCCTGTACAGATCAGGATTGTTGTCCTGGGATTCTTGTTTGACTGGGAAGAATCATGGCAGTCATAAGATGGGGTTTTGTGGAGATGGAAGCTTTGTTTCTTCTTGACACATCCAGTCTGTCTCCACAGAAGTCAGCCCTATGCACTTTGCCCGAGTCCCACTAGTTCATATCTAACAACAATCCAGCATTCATGTTACTATTAATTTTTCTGTTGACAGTTCCCCAGAATTCACACCTAAGGGAACCCCTCTTTCCTTTCTATCCTGACTCTGTGGTTTATATCTGAGCAAAAGATTTCATGATGGTGTCCAACCTTTATGCTGCTATAAGACATTGGGAGGACAGTGGGCTTTGGAGGACAAGAAATTTCTGCAATAAAAATTGACAGATTGGAGCCATTCCATCAACGGAAGAATTATTTTTTCCTGAATATTCAGCCCTTGCAGAGCCAAGGTGTGTGGTTCTCCTAATTAAAACAGAACAAAATAAAAAATAGCCTAATAGACAGAATTGCTTATATACATATAGATAAAAGTCATAGCAGAGTCAAAAATCAGTAGAGGTCATAGGTGTGCTTGACACCTCTAAAAACAAAAATCTCTCTCAGCCTCTCTCTGTGTCTCATTCTCTCTGTCTCTGTGTTTCTCTCTCTCTCTCTCTCTCTCTCTCTCTCTGTGTGTGTGTGTGTGTGTGTGTGTGTGTGCGCTTGTGTATGTGTTTGTATGGAGGTGGTGGAGTTATCCTGTGTCATACACTGACGTCCAGTCATTGTCAGTCAGTGTCAATCTAAACGTGTTGCAGAGACAATCCAATTTCAGGAAACAGGCAATGATCACCCAGGGCTCCTGATGACATCAAGGCCTCTCCCATCATCAGGTCAGGATCCCCTGCTCTGGCCCAGTGTTGTGTGAGCAGGAGCCCAGAATGCTGAGAGAGTAACAGACTCTATACCAGAGGACTTCACAGTGTGACATTCGGGTCATCTTCATCTCTCAATTGATAATAAATGTGATTACTACTAACAAAAGCAATCCAGGATTAGACTCACCTATAAATGATTACTTAGAATTGAAATTATGAGGAAAGGTAAAGGGACTCCCCACAAATCTTTGGTAACAACTTCTACTAAAGTATTCGGTGTGCTGTTAAGTACATCAAACTGAATTTTGACATGTGTTTATGTTTGTTCTGATATTGCTGATCTATTTTCCTAGTCAAATTTTTATTATAATATATTCCCAACTACTTTATCAACAGTTCTAATGTCTTTAATTTAGATCACAAACACACACACACACACACACACACACACACACACACACACACACCACAATATATATTTTTGTCACAGCTTTTTATATTTTGTTTCATTAAAGAAGGCGCATATCAATGGAAGTGGTCACTGATAAAGATCTCATCAATTTGTGGTATAATGCAGGGCACACTCAGTCATTTTCAGATGTCATTTGGAAAAACTGACAAACACCTCATAGGACCATTAGGAGGAGGCTGAAACAGGACAGTCAGATTCATTATTTCTTTGTAAGTCTCCAGGCTGCTCTTCTGTGTCATCTCAGTCTCTGCTTCCTGCTCCTCCAGGTTTCCTGACACACTCAGGATATGATTGCAACACTGTGTCTCTCGCACAGTAATAGACTGCAGAGTCCTCAGATGTCAGGCTGCTGAACTCCATGTAGGCTGTGCTGGAGGATGTGTCACTGGTCATGGAGACCCGTCCTTGGAACTTCTGTGCATAGTCTGTGCTGCCAGTTCTGGGGTTGAGACGTCCCATCCACTCCAGCCCCTGTCCAGTCTTCTGCTTCACCCAATGCATATAGTACTCGATGATGTTGTAGCCTGAAACCTTGCAGGACACCTTCACTGAGGACCCAGGCCTTACCAGCTTAGACCCAGACTCCTGCAATTGGATCTCGCATTGGACACCTGTGGAGAGAAGGAAAACTGGATGCTACTGTCACATGAGCCTCTACTGTCAACCAATAGGCTACAGATGAGAGACAGGAGCGTGTGTTCATGAGAGGTCTACACCAACATCTGCAGCTATTGCAGGGTCATTCCTAGGAGTCAAGATAAGAAAAGGACTTCACTATGAAGCTGAGAGTGTTTTGTTGGGTGTGGGAATTGAGGAGTTAATGGGATGATTGGCTGATCACTATCATCAAAATATGTCATAGATACATAAAATGACTAAGTAACAATACAATAAAATGATTCAGAAGAAATTATTCACAGTATTTGAGGAATAAGCCATTGACAAAGAAAGAATGGCAAGAGAATCTGAGAGAATACTGTGATGTGGTCTTGAGATGAGGAAAACTCTGTCCTGTGTGTGAAACTGAATGGACCTGAGTGAGTTACAGCAAGTGAGATAGTCCAGGGACAGGAAGACAAACGCTGCCTGAACTGAGACACATGGAGAATGTGGAAAAGGTGGAAATCCTGGCATGGACAGCATTGTTTTGATTCCCAGAGGCTGAGGTGAGAAGGGGAGGTGACAAGGAAGAGAAGAAAGTCAGAAAACACACTGGGAATTCACATTACAAAACTGTTTCATGATGTAAACTCAGTATTTGAAACAGAAAGAATGATATGAGATAGTAAGTTCATTGCCCAGGCTTCTGTTTTCACACCAGCTCATAAATTTCATATAAGGCAATGTTATTGATATAGAAATTAGTGATTTGAAGCCTATGACTTTTGAAAACCCTAATTTCAAATACTGGTGATAGTGTACAAATTCCTTGTTGATGTCTACTCTACTCATGATTGTACATGAATAGGACACAAGTATCTAATATAATTACTGCATCCACTGCCTGGGTGTTTGCTTACACACATGCATTTCTCACTTTAAATTAATTCTCTAATTTTTTTCTCCATCCTTAATGTCCTACAGATTTTACAATACCTCCCAACCTACCTTCTTTCATCTTTATTTCTGTCACTTGAAATGAAAAACAGAAATAAAAATTACAAATACAAAAATATTCCATAAAGTCGCTGTTTTGTTGTCAAACATTTCTTCTGAAGTGTGGTTGATGTAACTTGTGTCTCTCTGCTGTGGAAAACTGACTTCCTCCCAGCAGTTGTCAACTGTGAATGGCTTCTTTGCTAAGATTGGGACTTAGTGCCCACTGCCACTACTCCATGGTTGGATTTTGTCTGACTTGTGTTAATGGAGGTCTTAATTGTTATAAATGTTTAAAACCTGGAGTCAAATGTAGAGAAAATGCTGAGCTATTAGAGAGAAGGAGCAAGGCAAAGCCACTTTGACCTCTTTAGCATCCCAGGTAAAACAAGACCACCTTCCTGTTTCTTCCCACTTATATCCACTCTGCCCAGCCACCTCACTTCCTGTCTGTCTGTACAGACTTCCAGACCTGTGGTTAGCTAGTGACATGCTGCATCCTCTCATCTTCAGAAAAGCTTTATTTGTCCAAGCAAGAAGTCACCTCAGGCTTGAGCTTCTCCATGTCTTGTACACAGTGCCCAAGTTCATATGTGTGTCTGCTATAGTGTCCCTAAAAACTGTTTCCTTGATGCTGCCAAACATTGTGATTCTTGCAATCATTCCAGCCACTCTTCTTCATAGGTTCCTGAGCACTGAGGGGAGGGTTGTGACAAAGACATCCCATTTAGGAATGAGCATGCCAAAGGCTCTCCCTCTCTGAAGGTCGTCATGCTGTGGATTTAATGTTGCTCTTCTTAAACACAGCAAGTAGGAAACAGAACTTTGGGGCAGCGAACTGAGCTCTGCAGAGCCTTTCCTGTCCCTAAGATATGACCTCATCATACAACAGCACCTTCCAGTTTTCAAATTAGTAGATTCTTGTGGAACTTTTTAGTACACATTTGTAACATCACATCTGTGGTAAAATCACTTTTCATGGACAGGACTAGGTCTGTACAGGATTCCTGGCCTCAGTTAATGGAATCTGTCATTTTTTGCTTTTCATGACAGGACTGCCAATTTCTCTTCCAAAATCCATGTTGACTGTAGATTACTAACTGCCAATCCCGCATTCCTTTCAGAGAGATTTTCTAGGTCAGCAGATCTCACTTCTCAGGACCATTTCCATGTGATCAGATGCACATGTTCAATACAGTCCTGGTTGTGGAATCCCATATTCACGTCCTGTAGAAGACAATAAACCATCCTTGAAAGGCCATCTCCACACAGACACTGAACTGACTTTACTGAAGGACCAGCTGTTAGAAAACCCACGTATGAACCTGATGTGCACCATTGCCAGGGAGAGGAGGGGAGGTTTGAGCCTTGGTAGGGTTTATGCTCCTATATATGGGCTCCATCTTTCTCTTGATTTACCCTTAAATATAAGTTCTACTCTAATAAAGAAATCTGTACAATGATCTACGTGGATATAAGAAAAAAGACACTGGAACAACCTTGAACTTCCTGCTGTGATTTCAGTGATATAATGGAGATGGTTTTACCCTCAGAGCTGTCACTTTGCATTTTAGTCATCTGAGACTCTGCCTCCTATTCTTAAATAACAGCAGAAACACAAGAGATGTATTGAGTCACCCTCAGCACAAATATTCAGAGAGACTTTCTGGGAACTGTAGGATGAAAGGATCATTAGCTGCTGATGAACGTACACAGTTATGTCTTTATGCTCTCCTGGGACGTTGTGTTCTGTGAGTTGTGTGCGCCCCCTGGAGGCCGTGAGCGGGTTCACAGTGAGGTTTATATCTGGGTTCACACTGAGATCCCCTCACTTTGTTAAGAGTACAGTAATAAGTGGCAGTGTCCTCAGACTTCACACTTTTCATTTGCAGGTACAGAGTGTTCTTGGCATTGTCTCTGGAGATGGTGAACCGGCCCTTCGCGGACGGTGCATAGTTTGTGGTACTGCCATCATAATTAATTTCTCCAACCCACAATAGGCCCTTCCCTGGAGCCTGGCGGACCCAGTGCATCCAGAAGTCACTGAAGGTGAATCCAGAGGCTGCACAGGAGAGTTTCAGGGACCCTCCAGGCTTCACCAGGCCACCCCCAGACTCCACCAGCTGCACCTCACATTGGACACCTGCAAACATAAAAATTCCTGATAACGAAATCATCACACATATCCATTGTCCCTCAGATTAATGTCCACTCACACAGTCAGCATCTACTGCTCTCCATAAATTACCTTTTAAAAGAGCAACAAGGAAAATGCAGCTCAGCCCCAACTCCATGCTGATCCCTGAGTGAAGTCTTGGGATCAACAGCTGAGCTCCTTTCTCTGAGCTGTAAGGTCAGGGCTGGGCTGCTTTTCAGGATCAGAGAGAGGACCCATTTGCATGTCTTCCTGCTTTATAGCAAGCTCTGTAGTGGAGTCCGGAGGTGTCAGGTCCTGGGTTATATGTTAATGTTCTGGAGGAATCTGATAATGAAGTTAATGTTGGGGAAATATTATTAAATTAGATCATTTTCAAATCATCTCCTATTATCCCTTTTTCTATAAAGACTCATTTTAATGTTTATTTCAACTCCCTTCTCCACTTCTGGGATTAAGAGAGCAGTGACATTGCTTTGCAGTGCTCATTTTTATGAAGTCAGCACTATTATGTTGATCTCTTCCCTGATGAATATAAAACTTCTAATATAGCTATAGCTTTGTGTAAAGCTGCTTCCTGAGGTTGGAAACTCCCTTTCTGTATGTAGGTCATGTGACATGCCTGAATTCCAGTGTTTAGCTAATCACATGTAAAAGCCTTTTCCAGATACTGTGTGTATTTCATGTGTTATTGTCTAATTCAGTTTTCCTTTGCTGCATGATTACTTATTTGACCCTAGAAATAGGGAGTGACTGAGAAGCTGAACTTCAAAGCAGAGCTCAGCATTTGACTTCTGTGTCTGCAGGTGGCCCTGTCAGAGGGGCAGACTGTGGCAACTGAAGTTCAGGAGTCAGGCCACCAAGAGGTGAATACATGGGGGATTGAATATCTGATAGGAAAAACCTAGAGTCCACAGACCCCAGAATGTCTTTTGCCTTTGCTGTTCTGTTTCATTTTTGCTGCTGCTATCTTTCTCTGGTACCTGGCATGATGTGAATAGGTCTGGGGAGATCCCCACTGCCTGTAATACAGTGTGTTCTCATGTGGAAACATCCCATTCTTTGGACATTTTTACCTGTGCATTATTGTTAAGATAATTCCATCGCAACACATACTGTCTAATTGATAATAATAATAAAGTTAGTTTAAATCGACTAATGATGTTGAAAAATAATACAAGGGAGCTTCATACAGGGAGGGCCTATGAGTTTCAACTCCACAGCTGCATAAATTGTAGTTCTGGTTAATGAATAGGGAAAACACTTGAGTCCCTGGAAGCCAGGCTCTTATTGTTGAAAGATGCATTCACAGGTGTCTGTAAAAGATATTGGAATCCAAGTTAGGAATACTTATATTAGGAGATGCTATGAACTCACCCTTTCATTTAAAGCCTTCTCAACAGAAGGAAATCCTGCCTGGTGCTGGAAACCTAGTCAGCTGCCCAGGGATTCTCACATCATAGATGGTGGAGGAAAACATTCAACTGCCACTAACTAGCATGATTTCTAACTACACTCCAACTCTTTGTCTTCAAACTTACAAATATGTGTTGTTATCTCCACTCATCAAGAAAACTTGTCTTGGCAAAAGTTGGAGGCCATTACAGAAAACCACAGCAGATAAAATGCAGAGTAGTTAAACCTAAACCTCACCTGATGCATCTACAACCCATCTCCTGCATCATAGGCTTAGGGATTGTTGTAGAAGAGGAAGTAGAAAGAGTGTGCACCTTAGGAAGGGTAAGCCCGCTCTGAGATTGTGTCTCCTGTACATATTAGAGAAGATGTGTCCATCTAGTCTACCTGACAAGGCTCTTGAAACATGAGTCAAACAAGAATGAAAACAGCAGACACACTAACATGGAATGAGGAGTGTTTACCAGGCCTCAGCTCTACTCAAAATTTTATAGGCACTAAGGAACCCAGAGCAGGAGAAAGAGTCTTCAAGAGAATAGAGTTTACCTCTAGGTTTTCCAATACCACAAAACCCTGAAAACTTATTACATAAACTGAGGTTGAATTTCATTATTTAGAAATACAGAAATCACACACAGAGAGAGAGAGAGAGAGAGAGAGAGAGAGAGAGAGAGAGACAGAGAGAGATCAATATTAATAAATTAAAAAAGAAAGAATTTGAAAGAAAACAGGAATCTCCAAAGGAAGGTTGGTAGGGAGAAAAGGGAATAGGAAAATGAAGTATATTATAACCTAAAAAGTATTCATATTAAGTGACAATAAAAACCAAACTCCTTGTTTCCTGAGTTTCTTTAATTGTCAGATAGACATAAACATAGTAGAAAATGCATGAGTGATTGCCTAGTAGGTATAAAAAAAAAGACACACCAGGAATATTCCCTGTCCTGGCACATGCATTAAACCCTAGAATTCTGGGGTGGTATGTTAGGATCAACAACTCTAAAAACTCCTTGTATTTGTAACATTAGTGAGGCAAGCCTGGGACTCATGATGCTGGTTTCCCACAAAATATAATAAAAAAATACTTTTAGAGGTGATTTCACAACACATATTAAAGGAAGAGATAATTGCCGGCACAGGAAACAAATCTTCTGCATGCTCTGCACTTGGTTCATGCACTGTCTTCCAATGTGTTCTCTACAGACTTTGGCAGACTTGGAACCTTCTTCAACCCTCAGCCTCTAGGGAGCCAGGGACACAGTTCTCATCAGGTTGCTTCCTTTGGATCTTCTGTTTGGGCCTCCTCTCTGCTGTTCATCTTCCTGCCCAGTCATGATCAATACATGACTGTCTGCCTGTGTTTTTATGCAAGTTTTCAGTCACTTGAAATTTTGAGAAGATATAAAAATATTAAATTTAATATGTGTGACAATTGCCTTGCAATGCATGAGCTGCAGTGTCATCCAGCCATTAATAGTTGAGTCAGGAAAGAAAGTGAATACCTTAAGAGAGAGAAATCACCATTAATCTCAGGAAGCCAAAATTTTACAAAGCCAACAGTGGAGCTGATTCCTGACCCCTAATAAAATGTTCTGGAAATGAATCTGAACACCAGGACAGGTCAGGTACATACACCTGGGACATCACACCTGACTGAAGGACTCTCATTCTCTAAATACAAGAAAGGACCATGATGAAACTGATCCTGGCTGAGTTCTAGAGTGTTGTGAAGAGATGAAGGTAGCCTGTGCATCAGGATATCACATGAAAAATTTTCAGAACTCATGTGTGAGTCAGAAAAACATTTAATAGGCTATGTATTATCAATTTGACTTAAAAATCTTTCCTTTTAGAAAAATATGCATGGAAAAATGAGACATGGAATCCTAAATGCAGTGAAGAATCATTGTGTTTATCCCCAGCTTTTTTTCTCTCCTTCCCCTGAGTTGAGGGCTGCACAGGGATGTAGGGGAAGCTGTAGCCACGCCTTCTTAGGGGCTGGCTACAGGAGTACCTGAGGGCTTGTGAGGGCGTGGTCAGAGTGACATAGTGGGACTGCGTTTCGATTTCGGTTTCTCTTTGCTTCTTGCTGTACAGACTACCACCGGCTGGCTGGTTCGCTCTGTAAGTAAGGCTTTTCCCTATTAAATACCCTTATATTTCTACCTGACTCCGTATTGGTAATTTCCTACTATATCTGGTTGTCAGAAGTGGGATATTGGAAACCCACACCCCATTTGGGACAGGCTGTGGGTTCCATCGGGCCCGCCGCCTAGGCCCGGAAAGCACCCTCACTCCACAGGCGTTGGCTAGCAGCCGACCCATGGCAGCTGAGCTGCTCAGAGCCATCCACCCAGTTTCTAGCTGCCTAGAGGTGAGTAAGTTTCGGCTTTCAACAGAGGCTTCCCCTTGCCGCTGAACGGGAAAGCCAAAGCTAAAAAGCCGTATACTCTCTAAGATAAGCGCAGGTGCTTTTGTGACCGCTCTCCACTGCTGACCAACTGCTGCCAAACGCCTCGAAATAACTAAAGGCCTGTGCTACCTGCTGGTCAAATATATTTACTGCATC